TGAGGCTGTAGGAGGGCGCAGAAAGCCTTCAGCTGGTGGTAGGAACCCAGGTTTTGAAAATACATGGACAACATGAGAGCAGTGCCTGTGCAAGGGGTGCTCCTTCCCTTGGCAGCTGGTTCCGTGGGAAAGGGGGAATGCGCCACCTCTAGACGGCTGCAGTCGGTGGCCACCAGACCTTCCCCTTTGGAAATCCCTCCAGTGCCAAAACAGGGGATGCACAGCTACTTGGAAAACATACCCAAAAATACCCAAACCCACCTCCTCATCCTTATCCACAGGACTAAATTATCTTTCAGGTGTCCCTGTGCGAACAGTGTGAATTTCGCTGTGAAAATATTTGATTAAGGTGTTCCAACACAAGCACTGAAATTCAGGTCCATGGATTGAGGGAAAGGTTCTCCTGAACTGTGTTCATGCCAGCACACAGCTTTTCTCAGCTCAGTTTTGTATCAGAAGCACTGTTTTGTGTGCTACCCAGCCAAGTAAAGGCTCTGCAGAGAGCCCAGGTTCTTCAGGGTGATGGCCCAGCTCACCCTCATGGCAATAGGCATAGCAAGATGAGGCACATTTTGATCCCAGATTCCAGTTTTATTTTGCTTGTATGAAACATCACAACTCAATATTGTTTCAGAACTTTGGGGAGGAGAGGGAGGGAGGCAAGAGTCCCCACAATGTTTTTTTACAAGCCTGAGTCAAATTACCCTCCCTTCTGTGGGGCTTCTTCTGAAGTAACAGATCGTACTGTAACCAAATATTGCCATCCAGGAAAGCCATTTTCCATCCAGCAAGGAGGCTTCTTCCTTCTCAGCAGCCACTGAAAAGGGCCTTTGTTCTCAGGCTGAACACCTGGAGAGAGTTATCAGCAGTGGCCTCTTGGGCCGCGCGCAAAGCAGCTGTGACAGGACCCGGTGGCTTTGGCCTCGGGAGTGTCAGCAGCACCTGGCAGCTGCTGGCACCCAAAAACCGCCTGTCTGGGCCATTGCATGGGCAACTTTGGGTGGTTCCTCTCTTCTGTAGGGACCAGGCTCTGTATTTTCTTTACTTCCCCATCCTGAAAGGAACAGCCTCACTCCACGGGGTCTCTGGATAACCTCAAGGATGTGACATCTCTGTAGGGAATGGAGAACAAGCCTTGGCATTACCTTTCTGGAGACACTGGTGGTGTGAGAGGTGAAAAGCTGGCACAGAGCTCCAACATCCTGGGCACATGGTTTGACACTACACCTCGATGAGTAAAAGGTGGAACTGTTGCCTGGCATGAGGGGTAGGACATTCAGCAGAGAGGGAGTCACCTGATGTGACCAAGGACAAGACTGCAAGCAGCTCATGTGACCCTGGGCACAGCTTTCTGCTCTCTCCATCAGTCAGCACCACTTCTGTCTGTGTCCATGGAAAGACAGACCCTCAGCTGCTCAGAAACTCAAGCAAACCCAACTCATTTGGCCCATCAGGTAATTCCCTGGAGGTAGAACAGCACTGTATAAACCATCACTGCTATAGACATTAGCTTCAAAATCAAAAGGTTTTCATTATTTCAGTGTATTTTACAGGATCTGAAGAAAAATGTGTAAGGAAAGATGGAAAGTCAGAAAGGAGAGATTGTCAGTGGGGCAGCCTGCAGAGCTGTTGACCTGAACCTGTGCTGGGGTTTTACCAATGGCCTCAGTGGGTATCAGTATCTGCAGTCTAGGAGTTTTGCAGGTGCAGACCTACAGACCTTTCTCAGTGTGTTGCTTTTCCACTGAAGCCAGACAGTCCAGATCACAAAAAAATTGTCCCCAAAACCCCAACATAATTCTTATTTTCCTGATAACCCAGATAAAGTTTTGACTCCTACAAGGGAGTCTACACTGGAGGATTTCAACAATGCCTCATCACAAGATGCACAGCTCTGCAAAGTATCCATTCTGAAGCAGTTCTGCCAAATACCAAGAGAAAATTGCATAACATGAGAAGGAGCAAACCACAGCTGAAGCTTCATCATCCACAGTGGCAGCTGACTATGGACGTCACGAGTTCTTCCATACTCGGTGGCATCATTTCCATTTTCTTTGGACAGTAGTAGTGAAAGAATAAACATTTCAAAAGGTTCAAATGAGACCTTTGAGTGCCAGCGCTGAATCCCTGCGAGGTTGGGATAAACTGACAAAATAACATCCTGCAGAAGCTGTGCCTGGGACAAACCATCATTCCTGTGTTCGTGTTCTGTGGTTTGTAGCACAGGGGCTACTTTAAAACTTGGTCTCTGTCCAGGCACCAGTACCAGCTCTCCCATGACTTTATGTTTGCATCTCTTTCTTCTTCATGAAGGGAAGATTTCCAGGTTTGTTCCTTTTAACTTTGTTCATGGTAGCACTCTTGACAGAAGGACTTAGTGCCTATTTAATGTCTTTGCAAGGAAAAGAGAGAAACTTCTCGGTTACATAAAAGTTTGTATCAAAATTCAAGAATCCGGATTAATTATAGAAGACTTGCCTTGTATCATTCAATTTGTTTGAATAGCTTTAAAGATTAAGCAGATCCAAGGCCTAACAGAACCAGAGCCAGTAAGACAATAGCTGAGATTTTCCTTTGAAACAAAATATACAGGTGGTTTCTGTGAGTTTCTGTGTCTATCTGCCCGGCTTTTTTATTTTTATGTCGTATCCAATATCACAGAACCTGGCAGTAGAAATCATATAGCAATTTGTGAAAGCTTGTTGCTGTTCTAGATATCATATAGTCTGTTCCACACCAGCAAAGACAAAACCAATGCCTTTACTCCTCGAGTTTTCATTCAAAAGGATAATGATCTCTGGTAACAAAATATTTGGCAGTAGCATTATTTAAAATGCACAGAGGAAATGTTTGTCCCTAATTCAAGGGACTGTGGTCACACAGTCTCTATTCACTTGGTATTTACCAGTGAATGCCAAAGGCTAATCTGCAAAAAGCTCAGGAACAGAGTTAAGTTTATCACACTCCATCCTTCACCCATCCCATTGTGAGTCACAAAATAGTAATTATTGAATTTCTTTGTGGCCAGAGAACGTATAAACCGTGTTATACCCAGCAGGCTCTAATGGCTCCTTCGGTAAGTATCTAATTAAGTGGTTGGGATGTTGGGGTTTTTTTCTTTCACAGCATATTTTCGTGTTTTAAAATCCCTTTGCATTAAACGACTCCTCCAATTTTCCAAATTTCTCACACGCACAGAAGAGGGAAATAAGAAAAAAAGCGGAGGGGAGATTTCGGTCGTGGGAACAGAAGGCAGAAACGAGGATTCGCAAAGGCTAAAAGCAAATCCTCCCCAAAATCTCAATTTAAAATACGGAAAACTGCAACTACGATCTGCCTGGGACAGTTGCCTGTCTGGAGAGGGGGAAATAAAGCCGCCCCGAGGGGGATGGCTGCGTTTGGGGAGGAGAGGCCGCTCTCCCAAAGCCCAAAGCGATTACAACACCTCGAGGGTGCAAATCCGGGGTTTGGGCAGTTTTACCGAGCCTGCTCGGCATCCCTCGCCACGGCGGAATCCCGCTCCGCTGTCCCGGGGCAGCGGAACGCGCCGAGCCGTGCTGGGCGAACGCACGGTCGGGGTGGGGAGAACTGCTCGGGGGTGAGGGGAGAGGAGCCGCATCCGCCCAGCTCCCTCCTCACCCACGGGAGGGATGCTCGGCTTCGGCGGGGTGAGAAACCTGCCCGGGGAGCGCGGGGAATGCTACCTGCTCCCGGGAAAGCTACGTGCTTCGGGAATGCCTCACAGCGAGCCGCGGGGCCGGTCCCTGCCGCCACCGCCTCCCCGCAGCCCCGCTGCCACTCCGGGCACCGCGGGGACACTCCCGCTCTCTCGGCTGAGCTTAAATCGCGCAGTAAGTTGGGTTTTTTAATGGAGCCACGTCGAGGTGTCGGAGATGGGCTGGAAAAGACGAGTCTCCGCATCCCGACTCGGTCTCACATCCCGACTTGGTCCCGCATCCCGGCTCGGCCCCCGGAGCACCTGCCCCGGCCCCGGGGCTGCGGGTCTCTCCCGGGGCTGCTCCTCCCCTGCGCCCCCGATCGCTCCGGCCCCTTCTCCCTCGTTAGGGAAGTGTTAGAAAGTTGCTGAAGTGCGAAATGAGCCTGCGAAACCTCGTTGTCCTCATTAAACTCTGACAAGGAGGGTGACAAGAAGCAGCGGAGGGGAAACAATGCGGCAGTGTTGGGGAGAGCCCCGCGCCGGGGCAGCCTTTGTGCCCGCACACAAAAGCTCTTGTTTGCATGTGTTAAAGTCCATTAAACCGCAGCAGCCCCAGGTGCAAACGCCAGCCCGGAGAGGCCGCGCCACCTTCCGCGCCCGCTGAGCGCCGCGGCCGCTCCGCGCTCGGCTCCGGCAGCGGCGGGGCCGGGGCACGGCCCGGGGCTCTAATGAGGGCCCGGGGCCGCCCTTCATTAGCGGACACGGGCGGGTCCCGCTCTCTGTGCCCCCACAGTCGCCTGTCCCCAGCCTCGCCGTTAGTGGCAGCGACGGGACACAATGTCGCTTATTGTGCCGGCCAGCCCCTCGCCCGAGGGGACACGGATGGGACCCCGGGTCGTGGATGCTGACCTGGTGCCAAAGAGCCTGCTGGACAGGGGCCGTGGTTTGGCTTTTCCCGCTGGGGCTTGGAAGGTGCCTTTGGACACGGTAACATCATCAAATCTTCACAGAAAGTACCGCCGAGGTTAGGAGAAGAGCAGTTTCCCGGCTTCTGGTTCAAACAGCAGAATTCAACCCAAAAGGTGGAAAAGAGAGGGATTGTGCAGAGAATAGCTACCAAAAAAAAAAAAAAAAAAAGCCTCGCACAGGTCAAAGCTACAAAAACAACCTCACATCACAGTGGTAGTGTTTCATATAACTGGCATGGCAATTTATCCAGGAAAAAGTATTTCCAGGTTCTGTTGCAACAAGTCTGCATCACTTTATCCCCAGTGGTCTGTCAGGGATTTGCCCCGCAGCTATTTTAAATTGTGCTGCTAATAACAATTCATTACAGTTGATAGAACTGGGAGACTTGCCTTTTATTTTGCAATTAGACATAAAGGCTCTGATCTGGCAAATGCTTTGCACTGTGAGCATGTGAGTAGCTCTGCTGAAGTCATCTGGGACTGTTCATGTGCTTAACATTAAGCCCGTGTGGGTTTGCAGGATCAAGGTCTGAGACGGGATCATCTTTAAGGATGTTTGTTTACCTGCTCTGGTCTGTATTTTCTAGATTCACGATGGCGCCCTGCAAAACCATTGGAGTGTCTCGAGTCAGCTGGGCACAGCTCACAAGTAGCATTCTGAAGCCAAGTGATTCTTCCCGTAAACAAAACTGGTTTGCAGGAGCTTGATTCGGGAAGACATGACGGCACTGGGTACGTGGCACTGCGAACTGTTCAGCTGTGGGAGCCTGTGTGTACTGAGGCGTTAATGCAGAACTGTCGGGCATTGGGCCCAGAACAGATGTGATGATGAGTGAGAGCAAAGAGACAAGGGAGGAAGGAGCAGAAGAAGAAAGCACATTTTAGGCTTCTCCGTTCCTGCCTAGATAACCACTGCTTCCATAACATGGGAACTGTCCCTAAATTCCTCTTATCAAGAGAAAGTAGGAAGCAAAATGATCTGTGGAGAAAACATACTTGTTTTTTTCATTTGCCAGTCCTGCAAACAATAGCTGTTTGTAGGCAAATAATCTTCAGGTCTGCATCGCCAGATCAATGCAGGGAGTGGTTCCCATCAGCTCTGCGGTGCCAGACACACTGAATGGTTTGTAAGGAAACAGGTTCTTGAACTTCTCCACAGCACAGACACTATCTTAGTAGGTTATCTCACACTTGCTTCTGTGCCTGCTCCCATTCTCCTCATCTTCCAATGCTTGACCTGGCAGGGAGAAGTGAAGACTAGATGAAATAGACCTTGTTTTAATAGAAAAGGCTTCGAAATGTTCAGCTGTTTGTTATTTCCTTGCCACTTACTTTTCCAATTTACTTTTGGAGCCAGGCTAAAGGAAAGGCCAGTCCTTGTGCACAGTCGCAGTTTAATACCTCTGATATGCATGAAGAAAATTAATTTGACTGAGGATTTTGCTTCATGAAGTAATTACAGCACAAAGCATAAAAAGGCTGTGTTTTGTCTTGAGCCGCCAAAGTCCTGGTTTGCATCATGAGGTCATGTTTAGGATTACAAATGTTTGCACAAATAGCACCTTATAGTATCTTACATTGCCTCTCTCCACCTTTACTAACAGGATTTTTGGAGGTGGAGAGGAGCAGGGAAAGAAACTATTCTTCCGTGACACGTACGTTAAAATTGAAGCTTAAACCCACAGGGCACAAGAAGAGCACAAATATGAGAGGGTGCTGAGTTCATGGGGATGCTCACACTCCAAAATATATCCAATGTGGATATATTTTGGAGTGTGAGCAGTGGAGGATGGTTGTAGGCACCAGCACAGCCCAATCAATTAAGGTTGGATTGATACAAGAAAAACCCTCATGTAGGACATACCATTTCCATGGTATCTTCAGAAGAGGCTGATCTTTTTTTATTTTGAGTTTTTAAAGCAGCTCTCTGGATTCAAATCCTTTTGAAATTGTATGTGAATACTTTGATAAACTGATTAGAACTAATTACGGTTAAAAAAATGGCTGATTTTTCATTAATTTGGTGGTATTTGCAATGTGTTTCACAACTGAAGGCAGCACTTTAATTATCATTATCTTGCAGCCAGAAAATATTTGGAAAAATAAAGTAAATCAAAATATGATGGCAGAGCACACCTCACTGCCTTCAGATGGCCAGTCCCTATCAGTCGGTCACTTCTGCTACCAGGGAGCCCATAAGATGCCAATCACACCACAGTTAAAACAGTCCATCCTGCTACTCACCTGTATAATGACACATTTGGTCAAGACTGATGAAATTTATGGATTTTAAGTTTGCTTAGAAGAATTGACTCAAACTCTAGAGAACTATGCATGGGAAATAAAAGTTACAGGAATGGTAAACTTCCAAACCCAGAAAATTCACAGATTAAAGTCACTGTGGAGAAAAACACTCACCAGCACTTTCTGCCTTACCTGGGTGTTTGGGTGGGAGGTCTGTAGATTGTGCAATGACTGCTGGAGCTGAGCTCTGAATATCTGTCATCAGCACTCAGGCTGTGGGTGACTCACATTGAGAAACTGAAATTATGAAGACCCTTCTTTTATTCATCACTGCCTGCCTTCTTTCCTCACTGATAATACAGGGTCAGCATCCTCTCAAAATGACTGGAAAAGGAAACAGTGCATGTGAAACTCTCAGACACTGCTGTCATGAGCACCATGGAAAAACCATACGGAAATGAATAATTTTGTGCCCAAAGCACAGTTTGAATAACAGGCAGTAAAAAGCCCCTTCGCTGCACATTAAACAAGAGGAGAATAAATCATGAGGGGAGCTACTCCCTCAGGAGCAGCAAGCATTGCCAGTGCAGAGAGAGGGGGATGCCTGTAGGAAAAGGGCGTGGATAACTCAATTACAGTTCATCTGGATGAGGAAAACCAGGCAAATTCTGGACACTCCAGGCTGCTGAATGCTGGAGCGTAGAGCCTCAGTAGCCTTTCAGAGTATATTGTTTCACACACGTATTTATGTTTGTGTGTGCATGGGCTTCAGGGTATATGGAAAATAAGTGGGATAAGCTTTGGTTCTGTGCCAGGTTGAGTGCTCTACACAGCTACAGCACTGCTGGTCAGCTGGAAGCACAGGCTGAGGTCTAGGTGAAAAAAAGATAATCTTTGGAATATCAGTTGATCAGTTTGTAGAATATCTGTCAATGGCTACAGCACCACTGGCTGGGCAAACACAGCCCTCTAATATGTGCCCCACTGCCAAGTCTGTCTTTATCCATGGGACAGGATCTAGGGTCTAGAAACACCCTATTTCCAGGTTGTCTGGAGATGTCTTCACTGACCATCTGTATACAATTCCCTGCACTTCTGGGCTGGAGCCAGGGCATAAGATACGGCAGAGTGTATTTGGAGAAGTTACCACCAGCAATATCCCCTTCATTAAGGGGAATTAATTAAGGTTAAATAAGGTTGGGAAGTAAGAAAAATTAATTCCTACAGGCATCCCTAAAAGACAGGGAGACAGCAACATCATAGTAGGAACATGTCCTAGGACTGTGCTTGGCCCAGGCAGGCAGGACAGCACAGAGAGCTGTGGTCAGGTCTCACTCACAGTGGCAGATTTAAGAGTGCACATGTCCAACCCAACAGTGGGAAGGTGATCTTTGTTCTGCTTGGCAGAGCAGCGCAGGTGTACTGGCAGTGTAAAAGCTCTCTGTGAGATGCAGCTCTGCAGAGCAGCTCCAGCAATCCACAGCCATTGCTGTCACTGCAGCAGGTTAAGGACACACTGCCGAGATCTCTGTGACAGGAGAACACAGCAGGGTAACTCAGTAGTGATGTGGCCTCTCATTGATGGATGCTCTTCCTCCTGCTTGTGTTTCCAACACACTGATCAACTCTTGCAAACTTAGGTAAAACCCATTTTTTCAGTCCCTCTATCCTAGTGATGGCATGCCCTTCCTGAGGCACAGGAATGAATGTAAAAATGTCTCACATTTGTTCTGATCAGGGCTCTGCTGATGCTTTTAGGGCTTCTCCCACTCAAAAGTCTGTTGACGTGAGTATTTCCGCCCTCGTGATCTGATAGAAGCACAAAAGACACATCTGGTGACAAAAGACACATCTGGTGACAAAAGATACATCTGGTGACAAAAGACACATCTCTTCTGGGGCTGGTGGACTTTCCCTTATGCCAGGATTGAGTTTGCCCAACAAGGGACCAGTCAGTGTCCACAAGACTCTTTGACAGCAGAACATTCTGTTACTCTTCCTGTGACGTTATCAGAGGAAACACTGCACACAGCTACGTGTATCCATTGAAGTCTATTATTTCAGCTCGTTCATATGTTGCTGACTCACCATTCATTCACTTTGTACAACCTTTTAAAAGTCTTACACATCCCCAAACCCTGTCCATGGAATTTCTGCCTTAGATATATCTCACACTGCACCAACATCAACTTGAAGAGGCAATAATTTTCCCAGGAGTGTCTTGTATAAAATCTTCCTCATCAGAGATAAGAGACAAGCTCATTCCACATGAGACAACCCACTGGAATGACTCTTTAGACACCACTTGTGGAACTTCTTATTCATCATTCTCCTCATCCTGATATTTTGTCCTCTAATTGCAAAAGTACTTTCCACTTCCACTGAGTGTTTCTGTGGGCAAGGTACAGACAGAATGGATAAACTCCACTGGGACTAGTAATACACTGGGATATGGCTAAGAGACTTCTTCTAGCTTGGGTGCATTTGATTTGTAGCTTTTATGGGAAATAGCAACTGGACAGTTAAAAATGGACAGCTTAGAAATAAGCATTTCTGCACCAATCACCATCAGATAGGTTTTCACCTGGGCAGAGGACTTCCAAAAACATTCTGCAATCCTGCAAGCTGCAGGGAGTGGGGGTTGATTCATCAAGGTGCTTTCCCTCCTGAATCAGCACTAAATCTACGCCACTGTGATATCACAGGCTATCTGCCTTTGGAAGCTCTGAGTATTTTTAAGCATTCTAACAGCAAAGCGCTGACTATTGCTGGGGATTACAGATTCTGCAGAACATTTTGGAAGATAACTTCTGGCATCTTGCCACTTGTTATATGGAAAATATGTTATATTATCTTCCATGTGTGTGGGGGTGTGAGGGTGCTCTGAGTGTCCTGGCCCTCAGCCTGCAAAGACTTACACATATTTTATGCAGAATAAAGTTAAGCAATACATAATGAACTTGTTCAGGCTCAGAGCCTGGATCTGTCACTTAAGACATGTTCCATATCCTTTAAGACTTCTCGAAAGACAGCATCTTTCTTAACACTCCAAGTACACTACTATGAGCACCATGCTGGAGGTTGGCTGAGTATTTCCACCCCAGTGGGACACGAATATGCTGTTATCAGTGTAGGACTTTCCAGTGGAAGGGTCTGGTCCTGCCCCAGCCGGCTGGAGTCCTTTGACTGGGATAGTCAGACTGGGATGGGCAAACTGGTCCCAGACTCCTGTATGCACACAGGAATGTGGAGCAGCTGCTGTCAGATGCACAGCACACATTTGATGTCATGTTCTGCTCTTACTATCAGTCCTGGAAAGATCTCCAGAGGCACTGAGTGAAGGATGAGGTGTAGGTAAGGATGTCAGAGCACCAGGAATAGCAGAAAAGGCCCTTATTGCTGGGAGACAGTGGTGTTACTCCCATGGAGACCCTTTCAAGAGTCCTTCCATGAACGACTTCTGGGTGGGTTTGGTGAGATGCAGAGGCACAAGGCAGCAGAGGGCACATCCTCCCACGCCCACTCCAGTGCACCCTTTGGGGGAAGCCAGGGTGGCTGCTCTACTCCCCAGAGCCCATCTGGGCACATCCTGCTCCCCTCCCTCACTGCCCCCGGCTGCGGGGAGCCCCACGGGGAGCCCTGCGGAGTCCTGTGGGGAGCAATGTCAGATCCGTGCGTGGAGCTCTGAGGGAGCCCTGCGGAGTCCTGTGGGGAGCAATGTCAGACCCGTGCGTGGAGCTCTGAGGGAGCCCTGCAGGAGCACTGAGGGGAGCAATGTCAGATCCGTGCGTGGAGCTCTGAGGGAGCCCTGCAGGAGCACTGAGGGGAGCAATGTCAGACCCGTGCGTGGAGCTCTGAGGGAGCCCTGCAGGAGCACTGAGGGGAGCAATGTCAGATCCGTGCGTGGAGCTCTGAGGGAGCCCTGCAGGAGCACTGAGGGGAGCAATGCCAGATCCGTGCGTGGAGCTCTGAGGGAGCCCTGCAGGAGCACTGAGGGAGCACTACGGGGACACCACGGGCAGCCCTGAGCGAGCAATGTCCGAGCCCTTCGGGGAGCCCTGAGGGACTGTGTGGGACCCCTGAGGGACTGTGTGGGACCCCTGAGGGGAACCCGGTGGGAGCTCTTTGGGATTCTGTGGACAACCCTGCGGGGAACACTTTATGGTCTGAGGGGAATCCCTTGAGACATTGAGTAGAACCCCTCGCAACCCTGTGGAGGACCTTTTGGGATCCTGAGGGGTGTCCTTTGGGATCCTGTGGGGACCCCGCGGCGCCGCCCGTCACCTGCGGCCGCGCGAGGGGCCGGGGCGGGGCGCGGGGGCGGGGCCGCGCGCGAGGAGGGGGGCGGCAGCCAATGGGAGCGGGCGGGCGGCTCGCGCGGCGCTCTTAAGGCGGCGCGGGCGCTGTCAGCGGGCAGAAGGTGCGCGGGCTCGACGGCGGGGCCATGGCAGCCCTCAACGGCGCTGTGGAGAACGGGCAGCCCGACAAGAAAGTGCCCCCTCTGCCCCGGCCCCTGCGCAGCCTGGAGGTGAAATACACCAAGGTGAGCCCGCCAGGCATGGGGCTCTGGGCGGCGGGTGGGCTTCGCTGTGGTGTCGCTGATGTATTTGGTGGAGTCAGGGTGGTGGTGAGATGTTATATTTTTAATACAAAATTTTCACCCTCAGTGGTTTTTTTCTTAGCTTCTTTTGCTCCTTCTGCTGTCTGAGATAGTACGTTTATGGGGGTTTGAGGTTGAGCAAGCAGATGACAGTGGCGTTTCTAATGGAGCAGCACTTGTCCCAGTCCCTAATGCCCAAAACCTACCTTTTTCTTTTTAATCAAATAACTCCACCAAAGCTGTTGCTCTGCCCTAGGTGTCCTGGGCTCCTCTCCCTGGCTGTGGTGCCTGACACCATCTTCCCCTCCCAACACATCCCTGAACGCCTCCAGCTCCCCGCTGGCGCTCAGCACAATCCGATTTGGATGGGGGAGCCTGGGCAGGGCGAGGAAGGCTTTATCCCTCAGAGCCGCTTTGGGGTTGTGTTCAAGTGTCCTTGACCCACAGCTCCCCTGCGGGGAGGTGGCTTGGTGCCCGTGGTGGGTTTGGGCAGGACTGGGCCTTGTGGAAAGGCTCTGCCTGACACTGGGGCCATCCTGCAGCTCCACGAGAGGAGCAGTGCTCGTGCTGGTGGCTCTTGGTCCCAACTCCATGTTGTCCCCACAGGATGAGGAGTCAGGCACTGAGCCCACACAAACCCTCACCTCTCCGTTCTCCGTTGAGTTTCCCTTTAAACAGTCGCTCCTGACCTTTTGGTATAAACCAAAGGCTCCGGAGCTTGATATCGCTGTCCCTCAGAGGTGGGGCTGGCTTGGAGCTGAGCAGGGCTGCAGAAATCCCTGCTCCCAGTGCAGCTGTAGCTCTGCGATCGCCGAGTCGCTTTTTGTTCCACAACAGCCTGACCCGCTGCCTTGCGCGGTGGGGAGAGCGTCCCGGCTGGTTACTGCTGAGAAGCCTTGGCTGCTATAATTTCAACTTTCTGTCCAGACTAAAAGAGCTGGAGGGGCTGAATGAGTGTGTTGCTGTTGCATTTTTGTGTTAAGTATTAAGAAAAAACAGAATTTGAAGCTTATTCCCTTGTAGCAAGAAGGAGTGAACAGTGATAGCTTATCTGGCGAGGTGTTGATTTGAATTATGCATCCAAAGTACTGAAACAGATTAGCAATTAGGAGTAATCAGTGGACTGGATTAATTTTTTAACATCCAAAATTTATCTACTCTTTATTTGTCAGATAAACTTGTCATTTAGCAGCAAATTGGATCTGCAGCTGCCGATTGCAGAATGGCGTAATGCTGCGCAAACAGCTCTTTCCTGTGTCCAAAATGGACACGGCCATTTGAGTTCTTCTTAAACATCTAAATGTTCTGGTTTTTGTTATTTTTATTGTTGTGAACACTTTTAAACACTCCTTAGGGATCTTATCCTGCAGCCGTGTATGTTTTCAAGCACACAGTTTATGCTCCACAATTTTGCCAGAGACTGTGAGCGCTAAACGAGTCAAGGTAGAATCTTTAAAGTGGAAACCAACATAAATTAAAAGTGTGAGTATGATGTTTGATCTGATGCTCCCAGTGCATCTGAGAAAATAATGAGCAGCAGTCAATTTTCATAAAACTGTGAGGGGTTTTGTGCAAGCTCTGAGTTTCACCAGATGTTTACAGCTGACAGCATGCTTCCTTCTGCTTAAAGGAGATTTTTATTTTTGGTTCTACCAGTTATGGGGCTGGGGGACAGGCAAAGTTTTTCAACAATGATCTTTCTTATAGAGCAGCTTAGTGCTTGTCATGGATGTGTGATGGAAGTGATCTGTCCACAATTTCTTGTCTCAAATTCTGGCTATGAAGCATGAACTGGGGATATACTATTCAATTTGATTTCCACTCCTGGCACCAAGGACTCGTGATGTGTGGTGGATTCTCAGAATGATGGTAGTGTATGTGTTACATTTAAAACAGCCTGATCCTGTCACTCTTGTGTTTTACTGCTTGATAGGAACATCACTTTCCCACAGAATTAATGTTGAATGCAAAGGAAAAATCAGTATTCTTCTCCAGTCCTTAGTTTGTGAGCATATACTTGATACTGTAATTTTATGGTTCCTGTCATATTTTCCACATTTATAATGCAACTTTTCTTCATTAGGGAAATAAAGAAAAACTGAGGTTAAAATGTGTAAATGTTAAAATGTAGCACTTGGATAACAGAGTAGTTTGGGAGCACTCATGTCCTAAACTGGAGTTAATATTTCTAACATTGTATCTTTTCTTTTGACTTCCCTTGGCAACACTTTTTGTGAAATTTTCTTTTTCTCAGCCTGTGTGAAACAGGTGGGTCCAGCAGTGCAGCTTCTACACCAATTACACTTTGGATGCTTTATGCAGAAATAATAAGAAAAAGTCCTTTCAGGAAAAAAGCTGCCCAAGGAAAGAAAACTATGACCCAAAGCAGTGGGAATTCCGAATGTAAGAGATGCAACATTAATCTCCTGGTGGTGTGTAGAGACTCATAAACAAGATTGCAAATGTGGATGGCTTCCAAATAAAAGTACTAGCTTGCAGCCACTAGCAGGCTACTAATAAAGATTACTTCATCTAATCTTATTTAAAGTATATTTATAAAATATAACACTGCCAAGTCAGATCACAGCGTGGATAATATGCATGTTGAATCAATTAATTGTATATAGGTATTCATGTTCTGTTTACAGTGAGTAACAACACTCCAGTATTTAATGCATTTTCAGTTACGCAATGCTGGGACTGTTTGTTCTTGCTCTGGAAATGCAATATTTTGAAACACTTAAATCTTGTCACAGATGACTCTAAGTGACGTGGGAGGCTTGATCTGGCCTGTGACAAGGCATGGTGGGGTAGAACTGAGCCAGAGTCCTCCTCCTGTGGACACTGCTGGAGGGGGAGCAAGCTGTGAGGTAGCCCAGGGCAGGGCACCAACAGCCAAATAATAATTGTACAGCAACACATAACAAGGGGCTCCTTCTGCCTCAACTATACAAGCTTCTCTTGGTGTCTGCTGCTGTTCCCATGGAGATGTATTTCAAAAACTGCCCATTTCTCACTGACAAATCCCAGTGTTGTTCTCTGTGGGACCTGTGCTCTGCCTTCCTCTGGCTCAAAACTAACTGGGTGCACAAGGTTTGTAGAAATGCTTCTGTATTGCCAGCAGTGTCCCTTGGAGAGAGACTGAGCACCCTTGACTCTGCCATGGATGGAAGTTGAAGAGCCTCTGGACCTTTTAGGTGCACTTGTGGGTTTTTTTTGTCTATATCAGTTTTTCTTTCTCCTGCCCATCCCACTCCCCTTGCTCTCTCTTCAGATATTTATTAACAATGAATGGCACGAGTCTACAAGTGGAAAGAAGTTCCCCACCTACAACCCTTCAACGCTGCAAAAAATTTGTGACATTGAGGAAGGAGATAAGGTAAGTGTTGTTGGACAAGCAGTGCAAAAGACATTTTCCAGGGGATTTCTTTTTGTAGGGAAGCACATAAAGGAAAAGCTGGCTTTTAACAACAACATCCATCTGGGCAGCCTGAGCTGGAGGTCTGGGACACTGGATGTGCTGCTCAAGAATTACATGGGCTGGGTGCATCAATCCTGGCCAGCTTGTCAGAAGCACTTTCCCTGGTAGGAACTGGTGCTGAACACTGTCAGAGGAATGAGACTGAGCATCATTCTTGTGCCACAGACTGGAAGGAAGTAGCCAGCCTGAGGAAATAGCAATGATGGTGTGTGCTCACTCCTGACAGGATTTGGGCCCTGTGTTGGGGGTGGTTTATACCCCAGCTGCAGGGCAGCCTGTTGGAGACACTGAACTGAAACTCCCCTTTTTAAACACAAATAACCTGAGTGCTTGGGGGAATTTATGCTCAGTCATGCAAACATTGACCACTTGCTGCTGGAGATGTGGTGCTGCTTTTCCAGCCGATATTGTGGGTTCTGGCCTCCTGCACAGATGTGAGCTCTCACTAAAACCAAACCAGTATCTCAAGAGCTTTAGTCGTCCCTGGCTGGCCCTGGTGTGCTGCAGAGTAACCTGAGATGTAACTGCTTGGGTTTGGTAACAGCCTGAGGTGAGGAACATATGACACTTTTTTTGTCCAAAACAGCTCATCGTGTA